AGTATTTCACAGCAAATGAAACAGAAGTACTATGTAAACAAGACAGTACATGTAACAGACCTGTGGAAGATTGTAAGAGACTTTTTGCTGCTGTAACTCACAAGCACTCTCCTCAAGGAGGTGGATCTTTAAATCTACCGAAAGCTCACCTCTAAGTAAGTCTTAATGGACCATTATCTTGCTGTGATTATTTTTATATACTCAATTATTTGTATATACTCAATAATATAGTACCTCCTGAGCTAGCTGCATTATGGAGAGATGCTGGTCAACAGTATAATGAAATGTAATGGTAAGAAACTGCATCAGAGAGACTGAGTCCAAATTTCAGCTCTCCTACTTCAGAGTTTTATGACCTCGAGCAAGTTACTTAATCGTTACCTCAGTCTCTTCATCTCTAAAATGGTGTTAACAATACCACATGGGTAGAAACAATAAGTAAATAAAATTATACCCTCACACTGCCTTTAATAGAACTCTCAGTACTCATTACTTTTGTCTCTTCCCAAGGCAAATGGAATCAATATAACTGTTTCTGTACTGTATAGGATAATAATTAGGAACAAATCATTGTAAGAGTATGTCTGACTACAAAGACAAATGGTTTTCACAAATTATCACTCAGTCTCTCTATGGACATACTCTACAGAGAGCAAAGATAGACTCCGAGGAGATTTAAAGTTTATAGAGATGCTGTCTCTAGTTATTTTCAAATTGTTAATTTTTTTTAAAAAAATATTTTTTGTCTTCATTCATAGAGATGATTTGTGCCTGCCTCTTGCTAGTTCTTCTTTTGTTAATTCTAAGTAACTGTGAGCTAAGAAACCAGATAACCATTTCAAGGAAGACTAATAAAGTGAATTAAAAGGGTTGTAGATTCAGAGAGCGCTGCATTTAAATACCACGTGTGCTACTTTATGATCCTGTTAAGTTAATTGACTTCTCTAATCTTCATCTTCTCACCTTAAAATCGGAATATTATCTACATTGAAACAATGGTAAAAAGCAAATGAAAACTTAGGTAAAAATCTTGCAGAGCTTTCTAGTACCTAGCAATGTAAGTCATTTTGTCAATGGTTATTATGTAACTAGTAAAATATTTTGAAACTTTAGCTAAGTTAAGAATAAAATAATTTATTTGGAACATATGCTTTTAATGTGTGAAATTCCTTGGCACTACATTGGAGAGATACAAAGATGAAAACGAATATATAGTATCTACCCCTCCAGAGGTTCAAAGCTAAATTAAAGACAGATGTGTAAATAAAATTACAGCCATTTGATAAATGAAACAATAAAGAAGCAATGCTTCACTTGGAGTCAAAATTTTTATCCCTAAGAGGTAGTATTTAAGCTAAGAGAATAAATAGGAAGTTTGGGGTTAGAGATTGAGGTGAGCAGACTTGGTCAAGAAGGATGAAAGAATGTAAACATCCACGAGAAATGGCATGGGTAAGGTCTGGAGCAGAGTGCTTTTAGAGTTAAGTTTAGAAGATGACACAGACCAGATCATAAAGACCTACCTCACATGTTAACCAAAAGAAGAGTTGGTCCTTTAAAAAATAATAGATGATTACAAATGTATTAAGGGCAGTGAAGGAAACTGGCTGAAAGAACTCCTTCCATTAAAATGCACATGTTGACCGGGAAAGGTGGAGTTAGAGGTTGATGGAATATGGTCCAGGCTGGAAAGAATCAAGAACTAAATCAAAAATAGTAGTGATAAGAGAGGAAGAAATGAAAGACTAAAAAGGTACTACTGGTAACACTCAGAAATCTAGGACAATCTCCTAATTTCTGATTTGTCAAGTGGTTGTATCATGACGTCTTACGTTCTGGGGAAGAAAATAGTGAGCTGAATTTGGAATTTGTCTGAACAGCACTATCCATTATGCAGTCTGGAGATCAGCTAGGGTTGAATTAACTCCAACGGAAAAATTAATGTAAAGGCAGAAAGGAAAGACGCAAAAATCATGTCATCCAGAGGAAGCAGACTGAAAATAGGGCTATGAGTATCTACTATTGCTACTTACAAATATCTTACTTTCTGGCTTTTACTTGTTTTTCAATCAGACAAACCAAATGAGATGTTACAATTTACACGCTATCTCAAAAGTATGAAAGCTATTTTACACAGGTCTGCTGAATACAGATGCTGGAGTTTCCTGAGCACTGTATCCAACTTTTTCACAATCATGTCAGGCCTAGCAAAGTAACAGAGACCTGAAAAGTACCCAATAAAAATGGATGAATTAAAATAAACATAGCCTTAAGGTCAGTCTTAAACTGGTAAATCTAAACTATTCAATCTAAATTGTTAAATCTAAAAGTCATTTTTTTTAAATGAACATTTATTATGGGGCAATCTAAGTTTTTTATACAGTGCCTTTTCCGTTTAGAAACATAATTCTCAGTGGCCTGGGAAGTCTGAACTGACTTTTTGGAGCTTACGAACTCACTGCAAACCAACAGTTTATGCCTACCCATACTTCAGATTTCTGTAGAGAAGTCAGAAGCAGGTAGAAAAGTACAATTACTAATTTTTAAAAAAATATTAATTAAAAAAGGGGACTACACTAAAAAGCTTCACCTTATCAGTACATTCTTACATGTGACAATGTGAAAGATCCTCTTCATTGGAGTACTGAGGAGAGTATTTTAAAGACTCTCAGTCTTTAGAAGGAAATCTAGACAAGTGCAAATGTTTATGTACTTTCTTTGTACGTACTTAGAGAAATGCACGTTACATAAACTCAGACAATAATGTGCGTTCATAAACTGGTGAATGAAAAAAATGAGTTCATGAATAAGCAGGGAGGATGGCTTATACGCAGATGAAACCGTTATAAGAACGCGGGAGTATGAACAGGCACAAAAAGAGCTCAGTAACTAAAAACTGGAGTCTAAGTTTTTGGTTGTTTTGCTTTTTGCTATTTTTCATTAACAAAGCGAACTATATTCTAAGAGGCTCAAGTTACTTAAGAACTAAGAAAGAAAAAAGCCCAGTAGTCTGTTCAGAGGATTACATTACAGTCAAACCTTTCTGCATAAACCAGTTCTTAATATTTCCTTTTAAATGAACTTGAAATGTTTATCCTCCCTGCACATCTTTTTTAAAATAACCTGCATATCTTTTTCTGTTTTTCCTTGTTGACAGTAGACAGTATGGTAGCAAAAAGGAAGGAAAACCAACAAACACAACATAATCATCTAACTTAAAAACTACCTGAAAAAAAATTAATTGATCATTATTATTGGTACATGTTTTTACATAAATGTTTCCAAGTGATCAAGAACTGTGTAAAATTTATCTGCCTGCATGTGCACCTTGGGAATGTCCTACTATCTTGTTACACAGTCTCACGATTACTTTTAGGTTGAGATTGTGCATGTACCAGTTAAAGAGTGAGTTTGGAGTTGGCCCTTTACTTCTGGCTTCATTTGTTATTTCTGTAACTTCATGTTTTTCTTAAGCAGCAGGCATCTCAGTAAAGTTATCCGTAAAATGGGACTAATAAAAGGCTTTACTTCACAAGATTAACAAGAATGACATAAAATAACATACAGGAACACATTACATAAATCCTGTTATTTTGTAACTGTAAGCTCATTAATACTTATCAATCTTTTGTATTTCAAGTATATCAAATAACTCAGAAACCGAAAAGGTGATTCACTTTTAGAGTACTACAGACCACATGGAAAGCAGACCACAGATTGAAGTGTTCAGGCAATGTCTTCCCTTCAATCTTACATTGAAACTTCTATTAAGTCAAGATTCATACTGCCAGTGGCTGAGATGGCAATGTATACTACTGTCCTAAATATCCACTGCAAATAACAACTAAGCAGATAATCTGCAAACAAAACGTCTAAATTGTAATGGTATTAACCCGAGTAAACACTGCTTTACAAGCTACATATTTACATATTAAGACACTCTGCTTCTGCTTAATACCCATCTCTGAAGCAGAAACAGCACCACACCTGTGGTCAAAACCTGTTAAGAACTAAAATTCAGATCGGGTGCACGAACTTCTAGAAGATGAGAAAGATGCCCTCCATGGTTATGTCTTCTGGCATAAAGTTATACTTTTGGAAGATTTCCTCCTTCTATCACCACCGTATTAAAATCACAAATAATTTCTGTCAGCGACAAAAGGTTCGGTGTCAGGGAGCGCCTGACACTCACCCTGGATTCAGTTTTGGATTTTGGGCTTAGTCCTGAAATTCACTTTCTTCATCATTTCACCCTCAAATGCACGGGGACCAAACTGTATTGCGATTCATTCCACGTGTGACTCTTTCAGATGGAATCCAGAAGAAGGAGTCAGTGAAGTTAACAGGCTCGTTCGAAAGCTGCCCAGAGCTTAAACACTCCCAGATGCAAACCGGCAACCCTACCCCTGGCAACAAATCTGTCTTGGGCCGTCGAGGGGGGACAGGAAAAAGGCCACACCCAAAGCTGACTTCACACTCAAGTGACACTAAGCTTCAGGATTTGACCTATTACTATTTTCGGTACCCCTTTCCACCCCCCACCCCCCACGTCAAGAAGCATTTTTAATTCATACCACACCCCAAGTTAATTGTCACCACTTGGGTCACTTCATTCAGGAACGGCCAGGTCCAAGATGGAGATCCGCCTCATTCAGAGACAGACTTCGGGAACTCACTCGGGCGCGCGAGAGGGGAAAACTCAAAAGACTGAGTCCCCAGAAGTGACTCCAGAGGTGCCCGTTACCGCGCCCCCCCTCCCCCCGGGGGCCAGGAAGGCGGACGGACACAGGCCGCGGCGACCGGAGAGTTACCTGGCACAGAGGGCGACCTGGTCGTCCGGACCCGGCTTCCAGGTGAGGCGCCCCCGGCCCCCGCGCCCCTGGCGCCCCCCGCGCCCCGGACGCCGCTCCCCGCCCCCGAGCCAGCCCGGCCCCGCCGGCTCCCAGCATCCTCCCAACCCACCCCCCGCCCTCGCCGCCGCCCGCCTCGCGCCCGCCTACCTTGGCCACATAGTCCTTCACCTCGTCCAGGTCCCCGTTTTTCAGGGCCCACATGAACTCCTTGTCGCACATCACTGCGGCGGGCGCGCCGGTCGGCCGGGCAGACGGCGAGGAGGCGGGGGCAGCAGCAGACAGGGCCGCGCGGGGCCGGGAGCTGAGGAAGGGAAGGCGGGGCGGGCCGCCAGGCGGGCGGGGCAGTTGGCCGCGGCGACCGTTGGGAAGGGGGAAAAAAGTTCTCTCGCGGTCGCCGGGCCCAAAAGCAGGTTCCGCCTGGCGGAGGAGAAGCTGGACACCTTGTACTTCCGGTTCACTCCCCGCTAGGGCCCGCCCCCAACTTCCGCTTCCTCTTCCCTGGGGCGGAACGCCCGCTCGCGACCCCGCCCTGACGCCAGCCGGAGGCGCCGAGCCCGGGTGCGCAGGCGCAGTGACGGGCGCCCGCGCGGTCGCGGGGAAGTGGGAGTGGGCGGGGCTGGGAGGCGAGAGGCGGGGTCGGGGGTCAGGAAGGGCAGAGAGCGAGTCCGGGGAGAGGTAGACGATCTCGGGTGCGACCGGGAAACCGTAAATGGAGGGAAAAGTTATTAATTTTAACATGCTGGCAATTAATTTTAAGATGCTTGCAAGGCAGCTTGCTCACCTTGTAAGTGTGTCTAGTAGAGGGGCGTCTGATTGCCGTTCCTCACTGGTTGCTCCCCAATTCTCTCCCTCTGTTGTAGAGCAACCCCGATACATCATTTCCCCCTAGCACCTCTATTGCTGTCTCCCTCCTTCACGCCTCACCCCCTCTTTTCCTTCCTCACGATCGCGCATGCCGTGGATGCTACCTGCCAGACTGAGAGTATGGTCAAGAAAAGGTGGACCGTATCAACCCCTGCCCTTGAGGCGTCAACCCTTATCACAGCGTGTGAACTTAGGGCTCAGGAGGATGTTCTGTGCAGGGGAATAAACTTTAGTGCGTGGTGGGGAAATTTTTTGCTCACTTCCCTGACCAGCTGTAAGGGCAGGACTGACCACTGAGCAGGTTTTCTGATCCCATGCAGACCGGGTAAAGGAGGAGTCAGAGTCCTTAGTGGGTTTTTGCAGGTCTTTTATTGGGGTTCACCAGGCATATGGCAGGCAGGGGGGCTGGGAGGCTGGCAGTCCTCCCAGCCCCCAGCAAATCTTCACTCTATCTGGGCTCTCTGGCGGTCTCTGCTTCTGCTTCGGGCTTCTTCTCTTTCGGCTTCTGCTGCTGCTGGCATCTCCGTGATGCCGCTCTTAAAAGCACAGTCTTAGCTCAGCTGAATCCCATCTACCTAGGCCCACACCCTATTCCAGGTGCCCGCCATCAGGCATGCATTCAGGACTGCAAGGATCCATCTATCCTGATGGCGGGAGGGCAGAAAAGCCTGACATTTTCTTTACCCTACACCAGCAAATGAGCCAACATAACTGTCCTATACAATCTGCCTTTTAACAACGTTTTGTTCGTTTGTGTTTAAAACTCTGAAGCTTGCAGGACATTCTAGTGAAGCCAGTGGTGTTCTTCACAGAGTTTGGCTGTGAACCTCGGGGCACAGCCGTCAGCTGAATTGGGAGACACATTTGTGAATATGGGGAGAGCCTATGAAAACTCTTACTGAAACTATTAGATATATCATGTGTATATATAGCGTACCTAAAGTCTGTTCGATCCATGTTCTGTAGTGTGTGCTGCAGAACACAGGCTCTGCAACCATGTTTTGGGGAGAGGATGTCCTGAAACAACCCCACAAACTCAGGTTTTATGGACTCCTCCCCCCACCCCAGACCAAAGAGATTCAAGGACTGCAAATCCCATAATGTCATCACCATGGGAGGAAGGATGGCTGGGAACTGAGGGTGGAGTTAAGCAGCCAGGTTTGGTATATAACCAGAGACATGTGGGCCTTGTGGATGGTTTTCCACAGGCCTTCAGCATTCTCTTGGGGTCCCCAGCTCAGTGGAACTGGTAGGTCTCATTCAACAATTTATCTCTCTCTTTATCCCTGGGTTATTCCTTTCTTCATGTCCACTTTTTGCAAATAAGCTTGTTATTAATCTTTTTTTGTGTGTGTGCCTGCAGTTGAATCCCATTATAAGCCCTTTTTAAGCACACAGTTGAGGACCCACAATCAGGCCAACCCACTTCACATTGGGGTTCCCCTGTAACAACCAGACTGCTTAGGTTTTTTTTTTTGTTTTTTTTTTTAAGATTTACTTATTTATACAAGGACCAGGGTACAGACCAGATGCATGGTAGGTTGAGAGGATTCACCAGAGACAGAGTGGGGAACAGAACAGGCAAACGACTGAAACACACTGCTGAGGGGAGCAACAGGCTAGACAGGAGAGGTCTGCTGCGCCATGTGGGATTCTCGCCGGTTGCCTGGGATCAAACCCGCGCTGCAGAGGCTGTGGACAGCTTCACATTGCGTTGTTCAACAGCCTGTGCCACCAGGGAGGCCCCAGACTGCTTAGTTTTTAACAGGGGACCCAAACTTTACTAATTTTGTCTCACCTCAGGCAACTTATTTAACTCCTCTCTTGAGTTCAAGAAATACAATTTAAGACATGTAGATGTTACCATTTAGACACAGTACATAGAGAGAGGTTTCAAATTAGTAGAAAAATCACCAAATATTTGGCAGCTACCTTGATGGCTCTTCAGTAGTTTTGACAATTAGAAATATAAAGGCTTGAACAAACCTTAACATAATTCCTAACCACAAAGGTCATATCCCTAAGATGACTTCAGTCCTGCTTATAGTGCATGCTTGAGAAAACACAAAACTGCCCTTTTTTTTTTTTTTTTTTTTACTGTTTGTTCCATCTAACACCTGAAGGCTAGGCCACCACCTCCCAGTGTCTGTGGGAAGGTGGACTCCTATCCTAGATAATAGCCAGCAGCAGTCACGGCTGGCCTACTGCATTTCCAAACCAATCTTTTAATTTTTCACTTCCCTGACTGTACTGACCCTTCGCTTGCTCCGCATCCCTCATCCCTCATTCCCCCATTAAAACACCCATTCATTCACCTCTGGGCAAATGGAAGTTGACTTTAGCTCATGCTGGACTCCTTTCCTCATTGCAGTATTTATCACTGATTCAAATCTGTCATTACCCCTTTAACTAGCATTTCACTTTGTCTTTGACTGTGAGGGTTCACACTCCTACTTTTCCCATCCCTTCTCTCAAAGTTAATCCATTAGTAATTTTTTTTTTTTTTTTGATGAAAACTGATGTCACAGAATCATATTAAAATAAGACTGGAGAAAATGACCATGGGAAAGGCCTCTTTATAGTCCTTTTTAAATTGGATCTGCCCCTTGCGCTGGGGCTAGACCACTACCATTCCAAGGAGACAACAAGTATGAAAATATTTGTTTGAAAGGACTGATAAACAGAACTTTTACTTAGGGACCCCATCCCAAAGTGACTGATGCCTTCATCTAGCACCAGTAACGTGACATCATCCGTTACTTCATCCTCCATTGCCTCATCTTTTTCTTTTTTTCCCTTATAAGAACGTCCCAACCTGGGTTCTTCCTCAGGACTTGTTTTGGGTTTCTAACCTGTGCCTGAGCTCCCCAGCTTGCAATTCTCTGCTGTTCCCAAGTGAATACATGTTGGCTTCCAACCACCCTTGCTGTTCCCTTTTTAAAAGTAACATCTTCAAAAGATCTCTTAAATTGCTCTCTTCCTGCCATCCCTTCAGTGATACCCTTGCTGACCACTGTCATCATTATCTGCCCTGCTACAATCTCCCCACTTTCACTCTTGGGAGGTCTCCCAATTTTCACTCTTACTGTTTTCCAAGGAATTCCCCAACATAGTCAGAGTTACCTTTTTAAAGCATAAGTCAAACTTGTGCTTCTTGCCCTAAGATCTTTCAATGACTTCCTATCATATTTAGGATAAAACCCTGATTATTTGCTGTAGCCTTCAGGGTGCTCTGTGATTGAACCCTAATGTTGCCCCCTGACTCCCTGACCCTCTTGCTTCTTTGGTTTCCATAGATATGACTTTCTGTCAGTTTTAGGAGAAACCAAGCTCATCTCCCACTAGGGTCTTTATCTTGTTTCCTGTCTGGAATGTTCTTTTAATTCATACTCACTCCTTCTGACCTTTCAGGTCCCAGTGCTAATATTACCTCTTCAGAAAGGCCTCCCAGACCACCACCTATATGTAATCTCCCCAATTATGTCAACTCTAGAGCCTAGTTTTTCCCTCCTTCACTGCACTTATTACAAACATTTTCTTTCTTTTTTTCTGTTTATCTACTTTGATAGATACTCATGGTGTTGAACAAGTATTATTTTTTTTTGGTCCGCCATCCTGGGCACAAGAGAGAATTGCTCTTCCTGGCTTCCTTGTGGTTGAGTAATGTCATGTAACTAATTTTGGCCTTTTAGTGATGAGCAGAAGTAATATGAGTCACTTTTAGTCTTGCCAATGCAAGACCCTTGAGAGTACTTTGTTCCCTCTGCTAAGGCAAGGCAAGACAGCCTGGGTTCCTCAGTGACTCCCTCTACCCCTTGATGACACCGAGTATGAATAAGAATTCAATTTCTGTGGGTTCAAGCCACTGAGATTTTGGTGTTTATTACTGCAGCAACACTGACCCAGTCTTGACTAATAAAGGAATTGTTGTCAGAAGGGAGATGTTATTAAAACAAAAACCTTAAGTAGATGGCATTGGCTTAGGGGTTACACAGTGTACAACAGATGAAGTGATATTGGAAGCTGTAAGGAAGGTGATTCATATTCATAGGAGTGAATCATTTGGCAAAACAGTCTCCCAGGCTAGCGTGGTGGAATATGGAAGGCAGATAATGTACCCTGCTGGTGGAAGAGGCTGGAAAATGGAAAGCTTAGGGCATGAATTGGTGTTTTTTGGGGGGTGGGGTGGGAGGAGGACATGTTCTTCTCCCACCCAGCTTTATATAATTGGTCTATATACTTTGCGAACATGTAAGATGTACAACAGGATGATTTGCTATATGTAGATATTGTGAAATAATGACCTCATTAACAATAGTAAACACATCCATCACCTCACATAGTTACCTTTGTGTGTGTGTGGTAAGAACTTTTAAGATCTACTCTCTTAGCAACTCCTAGTATATAATACAGTCGTGTCAAATAGAGTCCATGTAATGATGCAATGGGCATGGCGGTACAGCTGTCTCTTTGATACCCTGTTTTCCCTGTTTTCTTCTATTTCTTTGTCTGTATAACCAGAAGTGGAATTGCTGCATTATATGTGGTTCTATTTTTAATCTTCTGAGAAGTTTCTG